GTTTCAAGGCTAAGAAGTTGCTCACAGAAGTCACTGGGTTTTGTTACTGCTCTGATTGGCTCAGCCTAACTTGCAGCCAGGAATAGCGTTTGCAGAATATATGTGCGCCCAGCTTTTGGGCACAAGTCTTCCAGCCCAGATTAACAGAAATAGAGAAGTGGGGTTTGTTCTAGTGCTTCCAGAACAACTGTACAGACTGAGGTGGGCAAAAGGGCCTGTACCCTCCAAACGAGTGGATCTGGCCCGCGGAGGCCCTGCTGCTCCCCTGCCCTCAGGCCAATGAGAGCCTGGGGACAGGGGAGCACCCCAAGCCTTCTCCACTCTGCCCCCACCCTGCGAGCAGCGTGCAGTGCTTCAAAATGCCACATGCTGCTCACAGGGCGGGGGCAGAGCGGAGAAGGCTTTGTACGCTCCCCCGCGCCCAGGCCTTAATTGGCCTACGGTTCGGGGTAGCAAGCGAAGCCTCCTCCTGCTCTGCCAGGAGCATGTGGCGCTTTGAAGCACCATGCACCGTTCACAGGGTGGGGGAGAGAGTGGAGGAGGCTTTGCGAACTCCCCCACCCCCAGGCCAATCAGGGCCTGGGGCCGGGAGGGCTGCATGAAGCTTCCTTCACCCTGCCCCGGCCCTGCAAGGAGTCTGCGGCATTTCAAAGTGCCATGTGCTCCTCGCAAGGCAGGAGGAGGCTTCCCGCGCTCCCCTGCCCCTAGGCCCTGATTGTCCTGGGGGTGGGGGAGCATGCCAAGCTTCTTCTAGGGCCTGGGTGCCTAGTGGGAAGAGGGGGCAAAGAGGCTCTCCCACCCCCAGACCAATCATGGTCTGGATTGGGGTAGTCCTGCCCCTTCCTGTTTTGCCCCATCCCTTCCTGTTTAGGCCCGGGGCTACTTCAAAAAATTTTCAAGTGGCTCCAGGCAAAAATGATTGCCCACCTCTGGTACAGATGGTACTTTGAAGTGGAGATTCAGGCTCTGAAGCCTAAGGTTCTCCTCCCGAGCCTCCACTCGGGACTGCCGCGTTTGACTGCCGCGTGTAGCCGCGGGCAGTTAGTTTGGACTACGGGGATTTACAAATGGCGCCCGGACGGGATGATGCAAATAAAGCCTGGGATATTTAAATCCCGGGCTTCATTTGCAAATTCGAATGCCTACATTAGCCTCCCTAGTTCGAACTAGGAGGCTAGTGTAGACATACCCTTACTTGTGGAACTGGGAATATAAGCCAAAATCACTGGCTCTCACTCCACACCAAAATAGAATTTTATACCAACCTATGCCATCAGTTAGATCATGTCCATTACCATCAGTTGTTATATTATTATTAATTATTATGTGACTTGTGAATTAGAGCATCATTGTGCTGGGTGTTGTATGAACACATAATAAAATGACAAGTCCCCAAACTAAAGCATATACTAAGTTTACGTGCCTCACAAACACCATATGGTAGTATGAGATATGAATGAAGAAATACATTTGGGCTCTCGACTTGTATGACAGCATACAAGAGTGAAATAACATTTTAAACATTAGGAAAAGTGGATGGAGAGGTTCATCCTTCTAAATTCTAATATTCTGTGAATCTTACATTCATCTATTATGCAGAACATTTCAGTAGCTTTTGTAAAGCAGAGTTGGCCAAGGAACTAAAATAATTTCTGTGAAAGTGTTTACAGTCTGGGTAGAAAGATTACTTTGAGAAGCATTCATGATTCATAATCCTTATGACTAGTTTGAGCTTCCGCTTTTCAAATCTAGAGAGACAAACGAGCCTCCAAGAGAAGATAAGATGCTCAAAATAATGCACTTTAATTTATACTCCGCAAATGTTCTCTGCAGTATATCATTGCGCTATGTCTCTATTTTAATAGTAATCCATCCACCATTCAACAGAAAGAACAGAGCACTGCTTGGAGCAGGCCCTATCTCTAGGGACACCCTGAGATTGCCTCATTGTAGAAGCTACATTTGCCTAACCTTTTTTAATCAGCCTTTACCTATTTTATAGGTAAATGGGGTCCTAGTGTAGGAAGAATTTAAAAGAAATGCAATAAAAAGATATTCATAAATGTATTGTACAGTGCTCAGATGTCTTTTGACACAGAAATAGAGGAATGATTCATTTCCTCTATAGCTGCTGTTCCAGAGCTTACTTACACAGGAAGTGGAATGTCTATATTGGTCATGCGAACAATCATTAAACAACTCAACATTTTAAATGAGCACAAGCCTAATGGAAATGCACAACTCTTTACTTGTAGAGCTCACTACATTTAAAAACTTGAACATATGATACTATTGTATTGGATAGTATTCACCGGTAAAAATCCAAGATTACTTAATACTTTTCATCTTCCAAACACTCCATCTGAAGACAGGCTAAATAAACATTTGAGTGTTTTAATTTGGCATGAAACAAGACTGGCAAGAATAAAAGCCATGGGCTGCCCTCCCCTTACATCCTTATGCCCAATAAATGTTATCAACAGAATCAAGAGAACTAAAACTTCATCAGATATTTATCATCTTTTTCTTCTGTTTGAAACTAGAGAGCAAGCATGTTAAAGAAATGGTTTAATCATCTGCCTACCTTATTTTTCCCTTTCTTTTATTCTAATCCATAGCTTTCATTAAGTAACCATGTAACCTTAGCCAGGTTGCTCATATCTTCTCATTATAGTCCCATCACTCCCCAAGTTGCATTATTTATAAGCTCCTTCTGCCAGGGACCATATATTTTTATTGTGATTTGAATACCCCTACTATACTTTTAGTTACCATTAAAATATAGGATGAAGACCACTGTGACAATGCCAAACTAAATAAAGGAACTGACCCCTTTTTGTAGAAGTGTTTTGGTTTGAAGAAAAAAATAGGAGTCAAAAGATACATATTCAGTCTTGAAGTCTGCTACAGTCCTTTTGTGAAACTCAGAGCAAATTGCTCACCTTCCTGAAGTGGCTTCCCTCTCCGTTAAAGGGGAAATGATACTGCTTCCCTACTTTAAGAGTGGGGGTAGGAAGAAGCTTAAAGGCATCCATGGTTGTAGTGAGCTTCTGACAATCTCAGCACAAATATTATGTGGATGATTCTGGCAATTTACATCGAGAGCTAAAAAACAAAGTCATACTGATAAGTTTCAGTGAAAGATTGTTGGTTTAATAGAATGTTTGGGACAGTACTGAGAAGCCACTTGTGTTGCATAACCAAAATAATGCTGGACACAAAAATGCTTAAATAGACACTTCCATGCCCCAGCATAAGTACTGTATAGGTTTAACAATATCTACTAGAAACATGGCTATGGAAACCCCATTCACAGAGAGATCTGAGTCCCCATATCCTAGAGTATTAAATTATGCATTGTGATTATTTTCACAATCTGAATGGGAACAGAGCTATTCATCTCTCACCTTCCCAAAGTTTGTATCCTCCTTTGTGAAATTTCAACCCCATTGTGTACCTGTCACGTTTTCCTACATATTTAATGAAAAGATATGGATCAGCAAGTCTCTGTCAAACTTGTCTGCATTAGAAGGCTGATATTTTCACAAGGACAAAAAAAAAATTTAAACAGTTCCTTCCATTGGCTGGATACAGACTTTTCTTTAGCACTAACCATGAGTTTTTTCTTTAGTCTGCCTATTTTTTCATTAATGAAAATGTATCATGAAAGAAGAACATTCTGCTCTAGTAATGTTTTCTGCTCCAGACAAGCCCAGGACTGGAACAGAAAAGCGGTTGAGATGCTGCAGGGCAGAGGATAGAGATAAACTTACTTACTAAACAATGTAATCAGCTCGGGCTCGTCTACATTGGCCCCTTTTCCGGAAGGGGCATGTTAATTTCAGCCATCGTAGTAGGGAAATGCGCGGGGGATTTAAATATCCCCCGCGGCATTTAAATAAAAATGTCCGCCGCTTTTTTCCGGCTTTTAGAAAAGCCGGAAAAGAGCGTTTACCTTGCCCCCGATCCTCCGGAAAAAGCGCCCTTTTCCGGAGGATCTTATTCCTACTTTGAAGTAGGACATTTTTATTTAAATGCCGCGGGGGATATTTAAATCCCCCGCGCATTTCCCTACTACGATGGCTGAAATTAACATGCTCCTTCCGGAAAAGGGGCCAGTGTAGACGTAGCCCTCTAGATTTGAATTAAAAAGAAAAATCAAAATATTCTCCCCAAACTTTGATCGCTGAATGTGCAAGAACGGTACAAGAAAACATTTTTCCCAGTAAGCTTCCAGTCAATTCAGTCAATTGAGTAATCAAATTGGCTGACCATTTTTAGTGCTTTATAAAATGGAATCTTTAACTACCTGATTTGTTTCCCTGCAGAAGCCTTTATTTGTGAGGAGCTGAAGGGAAAAATACTTTAAATCAATTATCTTATTTTTAACTTGCATGTTACTATAATAAAGGTGCAGATCTTGTTAATCTCATTATCAACTACATTGGCACAAACAACAAAAACATGGTTTTAGCATCATATCTATGATAAATGAGGGGGGATATCCACCCATTCATCCACACACAACTACCACTAGCTTCATTGGAAGTCGTCCATGCACTTTGTAACTCTGAAACAGACTTGTGTACACATGTAATGCCTGTCCAGCTTACACAAAGTTCTGTGCACTAGGGGGTGACATCCTAAGCCCTTGTGCAAATCCCCAAGCAAGCAGGCTTTGTAATGGCACCTTCCCCCAACCTGAAAACAGTGCAACCACTGCAACTGTAACCTGTAGCAGCATCCTTGGCCTAGTCTGCATCCTCTTGCATTAAATTTTGGCAATGGACCCACATATTGGTCAAGTTTCACCCTCTCATCTGGGCCTTCCACAGTATCCGTATTCATAGACCTAAGGAATGTGCCATCAGGACAGGTCTTCTTGCATGCAGAGGAACCTCCAGCAATTACCAGGATTTCACCCTTAAATAATACAGTATTAGGTTCTCTAATATTTGAGTAATTTATACTTGTTAAAGGAGTTATCTTGGCCACAGAATCACTATTAAGCCACTTAAGCACAGGTTTCAAAAACAGCTGTTTATTAATATATAGTGAAATATTAAAAATGAGTAACAAAAACTCCAACTTTTTGCTGAAACAATAAAAGTGCACATGTATTTGGATATTAAATAGAAGAGTTTATGAACATTTGTTTCAAACAGGCTGACATTTTAAGCATATAAACACTTTAAAACAATAGCAGCTGAACAACACTTAGTTAAATCTTTGGTCTGATTATTAACCAGCAAAAATAACTGTACCATGAACATCCATGTCAAACAGACACTTAGTTTGGATTGTTTTGCCAGAAAATCCAAAAGTGAAAAGAGGAATGCTTTAAAGTCATTTAATCAACATCTTATTTTACAAATGATGCTAACTTAACAATTAACACTAATTTTTAGAACATGGGGGCAATAAATATGCAGTAGCAAAAATTCATATGCATATCTCAATTTATTCCCTTTTAGACATTGCTTTTCTCAAAAGAATGACAGCCTTGGTTATACTAAGACCTTAAAATTGCTATGTAGTTAAAATACACAGTAGTGTCTAAGAAACATGTTTATTTTTAAATTAAACTATAATGTTCAATCTACATTACATTGTAACAAGTAAGGCCCCAATCCTGCAAATACATGCATGGAACTTTACTCATGTGAGCTCTCCCTTTAGGGAAATTACTCATGTGGGTCAAATTCTTCATGTGCATATTTGCAGGTAAGACCCTAAAGATAGCACCAGAAATTAATAGTCACACAACCATATTTCATTTGGCATAGACTGTTAATATTCTAACAAACTCAATTTTCAATTGTCAGTTTAATCAAACATAATATGCATACCTATGGATGTAGGCATTATAGGAGATACAGGAAATACCGGTCAATACTATAAATGCACAGACTAGAGCGGGGATGTAAAATCCTGTTTAATCAATTAACCAGTTAAACATCACTTTTAACCAGTTAACCAATTAAGTGGGATCCTACAGGCAGGAGGCCTAGCCCTGCGGAAGCTGCCCCTAGCCCAGGGGTAAGCAAAAGGGCTTCCATGGGCTAGATCCGGCCCACTAAGTGGATTGATCTGGCCTAGGGAGGGCCTGTTGCTCCCCCACCCCCGGCCAATCAGGGCCTGGGGGCGGGGATAAATGCGTGAAGTCTCCTCCCACCCTCCATGGGGCTGGGTACTTAAGAGTCAATTGCCAGCTGCTGCTCAGCTGGCAGGTGACTAAGCCCAGAGCTCCACTGTAGGGCGGGGGCAGACTTCACATGCTTTCCCCATTCCCAAGCCCTGATTGACCTGGGGGCAGGGACAGGAGCACCCAAAGTCTCCTCCCATCACCAGGGGCACTGGCACTTAGAGGGAACAGCCAGCTGTTCAGAACAGCTGGTGGTTCTCTCTGACGGTGTGGGGGCAAAGACTTCATGCACTCCCCCTCTCATAGGCCAAATCAGGGTCTATGAGTGGAGAAGGACAGAAGTGTCTTCACCCTGCTCCTCCTAAGGCCCCGCCCCTTCCGGGGCAGCCTGGGGCTACTTCAAAAATTTCTGAAGTGGTCCCCAGTCAAAAATAATTGCCCACTCTAGCCCATGGAGTTGCAAGATAAGCGGTTACCAGTAATAGTAATACTTACTGGTTACCCATTCAAGTCCCTAAGCCAGAGCAGCTGTTCAGTGGAGAGATTTCCTGCATCAGCTGAGTGTAAACTTAAATTTACTCACGTAAATAGTTCCATTGGCTTCAACAGAACTACTTATGTGATTGAAGTAAAAACAGGTGCGTAAGTATTTGTAGGGTCAGTGCTTTGGTTTGCTCATCTCACCAAGAATATCAGCTCACATAAGCCTTAGGTAGCAAAAGCTCCCATTAAAGATCAGCTTGATTTGAAATTGTTAGTAACCTTACATCAATGGGAGTTTTGCAGATGACTGCAACATAGGGGTGGAAGCCCCACCCCTAAAATCTATCTTTATTTTATATACATTTTGGAAGCATGGCTTAACATGGTTAAATCACTTTCCCTCTACCTCAACCCAAATCTTTCATGCCTCTTCTACAGGTTTCTTTCATCTGCCTCTGTGTCCTTTGGATTACTTGCACTGTTCTTTTATCAAGTGTTTCTTTTCCTCATTTGTCCTTGCCCCAAGTTTCTTTTTCAACCTACTTATATCCCCCAAAATCTCAATTCTTTTTGTAATTTTCTTTTTGTAGTATCAGAGTTTAACAGCAACAAAAAAGCTGCATTAAATCAAATAGGTTTCCATGTATTAAATAAGCCTGTATGGAACACAAACCAAAATATACATAGTCCCACTTGAAAACAAAAGTGTTACACACTGATGAAAACAAACAGTGCACTAAGGTCACCATATTGCCAGAATTAACTGTTGACCTGCATGTGTATTAACTGCTCCAGGCAACCACAATATCCTGGGCCTGATTCTCTACACCTCCCTCAGGCAAAATTCTACTGACTCAAGGACTGCAGGCTAACACTCCTTGCATGTGTGCCTAGGTCTGGACTGCTGGCAATCCTATATCAAGTGACACAAGTCTGCAAAACAGTAAACATTTTGGCCTACAAACATGCACTAAGGTAGCTCACTTAGATCCACATGGTTAGCACAGTCCTCAACATTACACATAGACAGCTTTGTATTTGCCCAAAGAGAAAACCAACGCTCCATATAAAAATAACCCAACTTGAGAAAATGACAGTAGGTTGTAAATTACCTGAAAATAAGACCGTGAAAGCAGTTTAAAAACCAAATACAATGAAAACATGCATTTATAACTGGAGAAGCTTTTAGTTTACTAAACTAGACTTTATGAAGCTCTGTGGTTGTTTTTAAAAGTTTGCTATTTTCTATCATGTACAACTACAGATAGAGAACACCAGCATAACATATCTGGAGCAATATTCCGAAATGTTAACAGTTTTACATTATTCCAAACATCTCCAGCTGTTCCAGATTAATTTAAAATTAAGCACAGCAGATTGTCTACATAGGACTCAATTCTACAAACAGGCCTGTGCTTAACCTTATGCATATGAAAAAAATCAATTATAGGCTTGATGCCTTAATACATTCTATGTTCAAGGATGTGATCTCAGAATCTGTGGAAACATATTTTGTATTACTATTTATATTGGAAACAAAGTACACTTTTAAAAAGCATATAGAAGTGTTCTGATCCTTTTCTACACACTAATTTAATGCAACTATGGCCCATAAGGTCAAATGCATTTTCTCAGCTAAAATCCAAAACGAAACTATTAATGTATACTGTTCAAAGACAGTAAGTGCTCATTACAGATTGAGAACTTGTTGTATGAGGTATTCTCAACCGATCCACACGTGGAAATATCTGGCTAGTACTTACATTAAAGGGACACCAAAGTCCTTTATTGTACCATAACTTGTTCCCAAAACTTGGGAACTTTAAGGCACTCAAATAATTTTTACAAAAAAATATTTGCTGCATTACAATTACCGCCCCTCACTTCTGCTATCTCCAAATCTGCTGCAGACCATAATGCTGCTACAGTTCAAGAGTTTGGTTAGCTGATCCCTAAAGAGCCTTACTGATCTATCAATGAAGAACATATGAGTGCACCAGCTAGTTTATACCACCATATGTTGGAGTTATTTTAGCTCTAGCAAACAAAATGTGGGGGAGGTCTGGTAGTTAAGGTATGACAACCTTAAACAAATGCTTCAGATCTAACAACTAAGATAGAATGCTTATTGAAGATTTACACAACTATCCATTTTTAATAGAAAATATTAATGCCTCTTCTATATTCAAACTAAATAGTGCAGCCAATTACCAGAAAATAAAGGCCTTTATGGAAATAAAGTGCTATTGTTCTTCTTTTATCTATGAGCTGCATAATTATATTTTAATCTTTCAGAGTGACCTTCATTTTAACACAAATGTACAAATAGATTCTTCATACTTTTGTCAAATATGTTTTAATTTCATGCCTCATAATTTAATTTATATTAATTTGCATATTATTCTACATTTAGCACAGTATATTAAATCACAAGGACAATCACTGAATACCTCACTGAATAAATATTTCAACCTGTGTTTAGGAGCAAGAAACACACTGGCTCCTCCTCCACCTCAAAAAAGTACCTTAACTGACTTGTTTTTTCCTGAATGCTATTTATCTTTGATCCCGATTATCTTTTGCATTAAAAGAAGGCACTGGACAGGGTCACTTTTAAACTTTAAGGATGACACTCCAAATTCATCATTAAGAACCCCTCTCTGATATTAAAATTAGGTTTATAAGTGGTAATTTGTAATGTTTTCTAATTAAGGCACTTTCCTGGAAGTTTCAAAACTTCTTCATGAATAACCATCACAACAAAGCTATTAAGATCTTAAAACTTCAGTATTTCTTAAAGTTTTGAACTTTGGATTTCCCCGATTACCTGGACTCGGAAACAAACACAGAACCACAGCTAATGATATTAGGCAGGTAGCTCTCTCTCTCTTAGGAACCTCAGGCAGTTTACTAGCTGCACAGGTATGTACTTTGGCCTTCCAATACATGCCTCAAAGGCACTGCCAGAGGCCCCTAGGTGATGGCTCAGTTGCTTTGGGGCTCTTGGCCGGTGTCGGTGAGGTGTTTACACAACGCAGGACTCTTCCTCAAGTACCGGGGATTACTGTACATTCGGATGATCCGAGGAGCCTGGTTCCAGGTGTTCAGCAGCTGGAAAGCGGCCAAGTCTAGAGTAGGGGCGTCAAAGGCAGCCAGCAGATTGACGGGAGCCGCTTCCTTCAGGAGCTTCGGCAGGGGCACGGCCTCGGGCAGGCTGGAGTTGCCCAAGAAGAAATGCATCAGCACCTGCTTCTGCAGGCTGTCCCTGAGGTACAGCACCAGGTCCTCCAGCCGCTCCACCAGGAACTGCTCCTCCCAGGCGTGCCAGGGGCCCCGCAGCAGCAGGGAGAAAAGCGCCGTCTTGAGGATATAGGAGGAGAGGACGCGGCTCCACTGGGCGCCGAAGGGCGGCTCCAAGCCTCGGCCGCTCAGATCCCGCAGCCCCTTGAGGATTTGCAGGCACTTGAGGTGGCAGGAGTTGGCCGGGGTCTGCTCCTTGAGCCAGCCCAGCAACCGCTGCTCCTGCTTAGAAACGTTGAGCTCCCAAAGGGCCTGCGGGGGGCAGGCGGCGCCGGGCTGGGCGCGCCGGGCGCCGAGCGGGAGGGCGATGAGATAGAGCGAGTCCCCCAGGGGGATGGCTGGGATGAGGCGCACAGCTATGGAGATGTGGCAGCAGACGTAGTCGGAGCGGGGCAGGATGTGCAGGGAGAGCTGGCTGCCCGGGCAGGCGGCCAGGCTGATGCGGCAGCGCTCCTGCAGCCGGTAGCGCA